AATCAAAAACAAATATCTTGTATGTAGGTCTTGGTCGGGCCTAGAACTTTTCAGCATCCCTACATAATGTATATTGTTAACTATCATTCTTCCCTATTTATTTTATCTAATTCCATGAATACTTTGATTTATAGTTAAAAGCAGTTTATATTTTTCTCCTTTGATCATTCACCGCCCTTTACCCAATCACGCGTTCGAACACTTCGCTTTTTCGTTTGACGCCCAGTTCATGTGTCCGTAGGATTTTGTGCCGATCTGATAGGGTAACCCAATATTGTGATCGATCAATATTCACGAATAAAAGCAGGACACTCACTAATGCCAGTTACAGTTGTTCAATTAAATCCTCGGCTTCTTCCGCACGTTTCACATCGTCTGAAGGTTTGGCCAAAGTCCAAACCTGGTAATTCTCTTCAGCACCTTGACCTTGGAACAGCAAATTCTTCGGTGTACTCTATGAATGAAAGAGGAAAGAAACGTTTCGTCTGAGCTAAGTGTCGGTGATCTGATGAGATTTTCTTCTATTTGAATCAATAGCGCATTCGTTCAGCTGAAGAATGTGTTTGATGACGAGACAATATCTCATGTATTCATTCCATCAGTGTCATTCAGTGCGCTATCTGATTAATTGTTCGCAAGTAGGATCACTCAATATGAGAGATCAATAATTACCTTTTAATCATGGAAGGTGTCCGTCGAATATTATCAACACTTATAGCAACTCATTCAAATCTGAGGTCTATTTTTTCTCTATTGTCTGACGCATTGTATGTTCAGTTAACTTATCTTATAAGTTTATTGACGCAACAATTTGTGTTTGGTACAAGGCTGGTGAATTGTCAGTGATTGATTTCTTTCGATTATCACGATAAATCACAATTTACTTGATACTTTTCATGATTTTCTCCGTCGCATAAGAATAAAGAGGAAAAGATCTGGAGTGTAAATTTGGTCTAATCAAGACATACATAAGACATAGAGCAAGTGTGTTCAATAATGGCATAGAAAAATCCTTAACTTACTAATATCCCAGAAATTAATAACTTCACATATTTTACTCCTCTTAATAAATAATTTGATCGTAAATCTATTTCTTGTATGGGAAATTAAATCCTGTTTAAAATTAATCAAAATATTTAATACATTGAGTAGGAATTTATTATCATCCATCTCCATCTGATTAGTAGGAATTTTCTGACTTTATCGGCATTTCAGAAACTTTTCATTGATTTAATCCAACGTAAATGAAGATTAGTCTAGATTTTGTAAAAACACCACCTTCTATTCAAACTTGATATCATCATCAATTTGAATCTTATCAAGTTAAAGAAAATGAATCATTTAGAATGTTTGGGTATTTATTTTCAAAATTTCATGATGAATAATAACATCTCTTCTGAGATCTCTTTATCGATCATTAAATCCAAACTATTGAATCCTGATTAGTCTTCTGTTATCAGCGATTGTTGAGAGTGACACTACTGTGAAGCTATTCAAAATAAATTTCTTATCGATTGTCCATTGAGAAGAAACGTGACGAAATCATTTAATCAGGATTAGAGACATGATGAAATTTCAGATTTATTTCGACATTTAGATTTCAATTCCTAGACAAAATGCCTAAAATGTTATATGAACAAAAATATTTCATAATGCCTATGCTTCTAAAAGATTCCGAATTAAAAATATACTTACTGGTGATGAAAAGAGAAATTCAATTTCTTGCCTATCTGACTTCTTGCCAAATCCCGTGCTCTTCTGAGATTCGTGACGAGATTTGATGAGTCAAAAGAGTAAATCTGATACCAGGAAAAATAATGGCAGACATATTTTTAGAATATATTTTTGTCTTCATGAAGAATTCGACTAAATGTTATTTAAATGTTGTTTTATGCGGTTAGATTTTTCACGCCAGTTTTTTTCCCAAATTTTTGTCGACATGAATTGGGGAATTATTATATTTAAAAGTTGAGAAGTCAAACTTAAAAACAATTTATATATCACATTTCTATATTGTATATATCAGACTTCTTTTTATTTGAATGAAAATTTACTAATTAACATTGTTAATTTAAAAAGGGTAATGATTTCATAGTGGCTTGAAGAAAAATACCTAATGGATCTTCTTTTATGTATCGTGTCCATTCAGTACGAGCGATTAGGCCTATCCACATTTTCCTGTTTTTTCTATCTCTTGACAATTTTTCTCTTTTTGTTATCTTTCCTAAACTGCCGTCCACTTACTCAAGCTCACTAGGCAGGTTAGACGTTGTTTTACCCTCTCCCTATTGTCTTCAATCTATCCTGTGACTATCAAAATTTCCAAGTCGCTTTTCCTCATTATATGCCCCAGAAATTTCCTGATGTTAAGTATAAGTGTCCTTTTTGTTTCTATTTTCTCTAAAACTTCGTCGTTACTCACATTTTCAGTCCATGGTATTCTCAGCATCCTTCTGTCTCTTCTTCATCTGCGAGGGAATTGTCCAGCATTCACAGTCATATAGAAGGATTGATATTACGTAACAGTTCATTAATATTTTCTTTGTAGACGAAATTTAAGACGGATAACGTAACAGTCACTACACTCTGACTTATCGGTCTGTATAGCGGAGATTAAAAAAAAAGTCATTTTGTTAAAAGAATTCAGACAAAGTATCAAGAAATATACCGAAAGCGGACACCAACGCAATTAATGATTTTCACGATGTCCTATAGACAATCTGGGAAGAGGCGAGGATGTCGGTTGACTTTGACGATACTCTGATTGTCCCTCTAGACAAGAAAAAGGGAAACTACAAGTTTATTGCACTCCTTTCTAGCACTTGAAAAGATCTCGGCACGAGTCATGGTCAAGAGACTCGTCACTGCCTCTGAGCAATTTAGAGGCGCAATGTGACTTCAGACCAGGTAGAAGCTTTATAGATATGAACCTTGCCCATAAGGCAACTACAATAACAAAAATATGAACAAAACATGCCTCTCTACTCTGTATTGATCGCATTGACAAAAGCCTTTGGTGCTATCGTAAGGAAGGCTCTTCGAACTGTCCTTCAACGCATCGGATGCACACAGACGTTTGTATTTTATCATGTAGGTGTTTCATGACAAACTAGAAAAAAACTACTGTGGCATGTTTATTTAAGTTATGCTCCATTGGCATTAAGCCGGAAAAAAATATATTATATGAGACTAGCTGCTGAAAAGTCGGAGCAAAATAAAGACAACACGACACGTGGTAAACTCAACAACTTATTTTATCTAAACTGCCTCCTGGATCTGTTTTAATCCCAACATTCTCTAGGATGACCGGGAGTGCTTACAATCATCATAATGATCATCATTACTGATGTTGTAATAATAGTCTAAATATTGTTTTTATTTATGGAATCATATATATCTAGGAGGGAGGGGGAAGCGAAATAAAAACAAACATCAGTTATAATTATACATCGAGAGAAAATGCATAGAAACATATTTAAATTTAGAATAAAAAATTCTAGAGGCAGAATGGATCACTGATAACCAGAATTCTAAAGTAGGAAAACTTCGTTATCGAATATGCATTCAGTAAGGCTGAAGAATGCATCAACCGAAACGTGGATACAAAAACAAAACAAAAACAAAGCGAATATTAATCCGAATATCACTTATATCGATGACAAGGATTCATTGTGGAATTTCGAATGCATGTTGATTTAGCTTCGAAAACCAGTGAGGAATGTTTACGTCAGCTAGTCTTTACAGCTATAATCTGCATTATGTCCTTTGGCGTGCTATTGATCTTAAAATCGCGCTAAACGCTGCAGTATCTGACTTATAAATAAATACTAAGTGGTTAATCAGAGAGAAGAAATATCGATTACTGCGGACGACACACGTGGTTTGGTTAAAAATGAAGACGGGATGCGGGATTTTGATAAAAAAGAAAAAAATCTCCCGAAAGAAAGGTGAGAAACTGAAAAGAAGAAGAAGAAGAAGAAGAAGTGATTTAAAAAATCAAACAAATAAAAAAGTAAAAAAAAGGGAAAGAGAAAAATTCAATAGCAAGGATAAGCAAACAAGACAAAGAAAGGGTAATCATAATTTTAAAATGAAATGAAGGCAGGCAAACTCTTTGAAAGAATGAAATTTCAGGTGTTAGGTCGCTTACCTCGCAACCCATTAAAAGTATGTTTGCTTATCAAAATGCGACTTTGTGTCAAACTTGGTTGCTTGAATGCCATCATCATCATTGCCAGTTTAGTGAATACAATTTGCAACTTCACTCACGGATATTGGTTAGTCGAGTGAGGTCAATCCTTTCAAGCAACCCCGTTATTTAGTTCTGTGTCAAATTAAGTTTAGTATATCTAATTTTACTCTGTGTGAATATGTATGTATGTATGTGTGTGTGTGTGTGTATGCGAGAGAGAGAGAAGAGTGAAAGAGAAGAGAGAGAGAGAGAGAGAGAGAGAGAGAGAGAGAGAGAGAGAGACCGCTGATGTTTATATTTGGAAACGTTTTTTTTGTTTACGTTTGCAAACGTAAAGTTCTTTGTATGTGTGGAGTTTAGTCTACAACTGATCATGTATATAATAAACGTATCAATAAAGCTTGTAGATATGTGCGTTTGTGTGTAGATATGTGCGTATGTATGTAGATATATGCGTTTGTGTGTAGATATGTGCGTATGTATGTAGATATATGCGTTTGTGTGTAGATATGTGCGTATATATGTAGAGAGATAACAGTGGCGAGTTGTGTTTTTCACTTTAATGTTTTCATGACATCGTTTCCGTGCGTAAATATCTTGAACAACTCGTCAAACTTTTTCGGATTTCTTTCGTTTTTCCATTAATTTTTTTTTTTCGCTTTAGTTCTTGAATTTCTTGGACTCCCAGTTTATTTTTTTTATCTTCATGGATAGAAAAACACATTTATTTTCTTCCTCTTTTCCCTGTATTCTTTTTTTCTTTATTTGGTTTTACCTTCAATTTTGGCTTTTCTTTTTATTTATTTAGCTCTTTTTCTTTCTTTCTTTCTTTCTTTCTTTCTTTCTTTCTTTATTTATTTATTTATTTATTTATTTATTTATTTCACCTTTGATCTATTTCTTTCTTTACCATTCACCTCTGTTTTTTTCTTTTCTATCGACTTCTTATTCTTTCAGTTTTTTCTTTTCCTCTCAAACTATTTCTTTCTTTAACATTAATCACTTTCTTTCTTTCTCCTTTATTTTTTCTTTCTTTCTTTCTTTCTTATACTAATTCCTTTTATTTTTAAACCGTTTCTTCATACCTCAGTTTTTTACCCTTCCTTCCTTCCTTCCTTCCTTCCTTTCGTAGGTTCCTTCCTTTCGTAGGTTCCTTTCTTGATTCCTACCACGATTCTTTCTTTCTTTGAATGATCACTTCCTTCATTCTCTTTTTCATCCTTCATATAATTTACATTGAATTTCTCTTCGTGTTATTCAAATTGTTTAACTCTCTATTTTATCCAATCTGCAAATGACTAAAATATTTTAAAAAATATCTTATGGCTTTCTTTGTTCAACTTCAATTTTATATCAAATTGCGATCTTTTTTTACGTTTGCAACCCTGAAAATATTACCCATTTACCTTTTATTGCAAACTTGACTGACAATGAAGGTCCTTCGTTGGACGTAAAGCTTCCTATGATTCATGCCGATGAATAAGCCATTACACAACGACGTTGACCCAAAGCGGGGGTTGATCAAGGTGGACATGACATGCTTGGGGGGGGGGATCTCTTTTGTCGAGATTCCTGAACGCCAAGGGCATTTGCATGTAAATTAATGTAAAAGACCCGCGACTGAAATTTGAACTCAGATCTCCGATTTCCCATTCTGAGACCTCATTCATCATACCACCCACACTTGGCATATCCAAGCTGACAGCACTTAGTATTCTCAAACAGTCACCCATCTAGAGTCTCATCACGTTCATCTTCGGGGCTCTAACGAGAACCAGTGTTTCAGTGTGATAAGACCTTACGCCAGACACGAGTTTAATTTGAGTAAAAGCTGTGCGATGTTTTATTTGGAGAAAGAAAGTTTTAAAAAATGTGATTTTTTAAAGCATTTCACTCCAAGCAAGGCGGAAGTATAACTATAGTTAAATAGAGTGGAAGTAAGAGAAAAGAGGAGGAGGAGGAGGACTGAAGAAAAGATTAAGAAGAAGAACGGGGATCAAGATGAAGGCATCAGAAGATGTCGATTGACATTACATTTAAATTTTTGAAGATTATAGTTATCAGTGAAAAAGTAAGATGGAGGGAGTTCAGCTGTCGGGAAGTGCGTGAGAAGAAGCTGTTGCAGTAGAAGAAGAGGTTACATTTAACTGTTTCGACGATAAAAGGCTGAGACCGAGATGCCAACCTAACAACACGCTTAAATTCATGCAGTCGGGGTACCAGTTTGTCAGATCAGTTGCCATGAAAATATTTATAGGAAAAAACAGCGGGAAACCACAGCATATCTGTGTGACTGGAGGCAAGATGCCAGGTGAGGACCGATAACATTGCACATACATCTTGTCGAGAACCTCGTGATGAACAGCGGTGGCACTAGACCATATAAGGCAACAGTATTCAATGCATGGACGAATGGTAGATTTGTAGATGTGAAGGATGAATTCAGACCACAAAAACCTTCTGGCGTGACACAGAGAACATACCTTCCTTACAGTAGATGTAGCTATTGATTCAATGTAGTTGTTCCACTTCAGGTCAGTGGAAAACGTGAGACCAAGAAGTTGCAGTGAGATGATCTCGTGAAGCTGTGCATCTACCATGCTGATAGGAGGCAGGGAGGTTTCTCTATGGCGGGTAAATGAGAGCAATTTTGTTTTGGAGGCATCAAAATTTACAAGCCATTTTCTGTTCCAGTCAATTACAGATTGGAAGTCTTTTTCGATACCAACAGCCAGGTTAACTTTGTCAGAAATGCCAGATTTACTATTCAGACAGGTGTAAATAGTAGTGTCGTCTGCGTAGTTGCCTGCATGAGAACTGATGACATCAGGAAGATCGTTGATGAAGATCAGAAATAGTGTAGGACCCATGATAGAGCCTTGGGGAACACCAGCGTTCGTATGAAAGGAACTGGAAGAGAACTCGTGCAAGACGACCTTCATTTCCCGCTTTGACAGGAATTATTGGATTAATTCAAATAATCGTCCTGTATCCCTGAAGCGTACGTAGAAGGCCGGCATGCCAAACCCTGTCAAACCACTTTGAGATATCTAGAGTCACATCTCGAGCTTCGCCGTTATTATCAAGAGCGTGCTATACAAATTCAGTTATGGCCGTAGAACGGGCAAAGCGGAATCATATTGTTTGTCAGAAAGTAGATCATGGGATGTAAGGCGCTTAACCATTTCGGCATTGATTAAAGCCTCGAAGACTTTACCGAAGTGTGGTAGGAGACTGATAGGATGGTAGTTAGATTGGTCAGAAGATGTCAGAAGAGTCCCCAGAGTTCTTGGAAACAAGGACAGCAGAGGAGGACTTCCAACAGGCTGGAAAGCAAGAATGGACGAGGCAATAATTGTATAGTTTGGAGAGAACTGGAGCCAACTCAGGAATACATTTCTTTAGTACGAGGGGTGGTTTCCTGTTACCACCACTTGCTTTTTGCAATAAACCAAGAATTACTTATGGTAAATTGTAAATCTTCGTTTTCTAAATGAATATCGAATTTAGCAATTTTCAGGAAAAACGGAACATAATAAGAAACGCCTTCACCCTAACACCCTAACACGCTTCGTAACGCCTTGTCACTAAGTGAGACAGAGTAATTCATATTTTGTCGTATGGATTAAACTCCCTTTGAGACTACAGCAACAGGTCTCCAATGATCGCGTCAACTTAATTCTCTTCAGTCACGCAATGCCATGTCCCCAAATAAAATAACCTTTCAACTTGTGAAGACGTTCAGTATGTCAAACCCTGTCACATGCTTTCAAGAGATCTAAAGCAACAGCTCGACCTTCACCATTCTTATGTAATGTTTGGGAGACTCTTTCAGCAATAATCGTTTATACATGAAATCTTAACCAAGACAAACGAAAGTTATATTGCTTATTTAAACTTGCGAGGTAAGATGCTTAACCAAATCAGAGTTGATTAGAGACTCTAGTACTTTGCCAGAAAGAGGTAGGAGACGGATTGACCGATAGTTAAAAGGATGAGTGAGTTTGCCTGAGTTCTTAAAGACTGTAACTATAGAACATGATTTACAAGAAGCAGAAAAGTAAGAAGCATTTATTTTAGCGTTTAGAGAGAACAGGAGTCAGTTCAGTACTATCCCTTTCTATGAATCTTGTTTAGAGATGATATACAGAAAAGGAAATAATACATAGCCTGTACACTGATCAAATGGCATTAATGATATTAATATCTACGATGAAAATTGCTATTCACTTATCTTTGTTTTGTTTACCACTAGTCCAATATAAGAGGAATTGTGCGATAGTAATTTATTGTACTTTACTAATCTTGTAAATGATTGTAAATCTGCATCCAGAATTATGATTTTTACCTGGATTCAAATACTGATTTCAACTATTGGGGAATAAGTTGCAATTGTAACCACGAGGTGGAGAAAAAAATATGAAAACTTGATACTTAGCCTGATTTACTGGAATGCTTCACTTCGTACATTCTGTTAAGTTTGATTTATTCATTGATTATTCATTGTTTAAATGAAGATTCGAATATTTTTTATATTAAGTGACATCAATAGAGAAATCGCTCAGCGCATTCTATTTCCGTTTTCGTTGTTAATGGCTACCACGTAGCGTTGCAATCGTTGCTGCTGTGCTTTCATCACGAGATATTCTCTTGTAACATTATTCGATGTTAATTGTGATAGTCTTGTTTTGAATGCTTGGAATCAGAAACCGGAGAGTCGAGTTCGAATTCCATCTGGTTCCGTTACGCGCAAATACCCTTTGTAAAGGTATGAATCCGTCTCTTCTCCCTCAGCTATGGGTTAAATAGTAGGGCTTCAAATAATCATTGTTATCTCCCCACCAAAAATGTTAATGCAATATTCACATACAAAGAAAAAGAAAGAACCTAAAATATATTTCGGCCCTAAAACGGAGATCACTCAATTAATCATTGAAAAATGCGAAATTTCATGACTTCTTGAGAAAAATAACGGAGTGATCTCCCCTTGTTTTCTCTAATATTTTGAATTCAGAGTTTTCCTTCTCCTAGACTGGATGCTACTGAAGGCTAGAGTGCGCAATTTACCCTGTTATTTAGTGGGAGGAGTGGAGATAGTTTCATGCCTTTTCCAAGGGGATTAGTGTGGAATAAACTCGACAGAGTTAGCTGAAATTTGTTTATTGATTCTACTTTCCGCTCCGTTAATTGTTACACTCTAACAAAACAACATTGTGCTAACAAAATTTGTATTCTACGAAGCTGTATTATCTCGTGAGACAATTGCTAATGGCTGCTATCGGAACAATATGAATTCGCTTTCGATCTGAAGGTTTATTGCACTTGCTTGCTGTATTTTGAGTTTTTGCTTTAAATGGTTTACATAGTTGCTTGCTGGCCTGCTAATTTATACTAAACTAAATGGTACGGCGCCATTATTACTATATATTCTAATTTGAGATTCGCAGGTTTTCGGTAGAAATACGAGTCACTCTGAAATGACTGTGGTCAGAATAAGTTGATTCCCGTAACGATATTATCAGCAGCTCTCTTGACAAATATAAAAGCCGACAGCCGTGTAGATCTTAACTTGTCTTCATTTGAGAAGAATGCTTAAACAGAATATGACATTTACAAGATGATTTGTTTGCATTGTCCAGTATAATCTGTAGAGAGGAAATCAAATATACCGTTCATTAGTGTTAATTGCAAACGCTAACACCTACTGTAGAGAATTAGGATCAATAAGTTCGTAGCCGAAGCTAAATTCTGATACGGATTTTTCACTGGATAATATTCGATCCCTAGAACAATTCTCACTATTGATTTATGCTTTTTTTTCTTAAAATGTGGGTGAGGTGTGTGTAAAGTCTGCATTAATTAATAAATGTTTATGATTGACAGTCTAATAGGTAAGTAAGGAAATGATCAGTTACTCTCTCTTTTTCTCTCCCTCCTACATATATGCGGCACATAAACATACAAAACAAAATACACACACATATGCACACGCACATACACACGCGCGCGCACACACACACACGCGCACATATATATTGTTTAGGATATCTTATG